CATATATTTAATTTTAATTGTGCCTGTGTATTCATTAAATAATTGGAAAAGGATGGAGGATACTTTAATTAGGATATCTGATTACAGGCTTTTTTTTTTTTTTTAAAGGTAATTTAGCTGAAAAAAAAAAAAGATAATTTGGCTGTAGGGCTTGTGAACTTGCTGGAGAGGTAGAGAGACAGACAGAAAGCAAGAAGTCACATCCCCAGGTGGTGATAGTCATGCCGCAGTCCCTTCTCCTCCATTCTCCTCTTGGGGTCCCGGGCATGCATGCACATGTTCCTGGAATAAATTTTTAAGTTGCCGGGTCTGGAACTTAAGCTGCAGTTGATTACATGAGAGTCCAGTGACATAACCATCTGCTGGTCTGACAAGCATTTTATTTATTTCATATGTTTTGTTTTATTTTATATTAATTTGACCAGAGATGGACAGAGAGAGAGAAAGTGAGAAAGCAAGCTGCCAGGTTCAGGACTTGAACCGTAGTTGGTCATCTGGGAGTCCAGTGCCCTTAAGTACCACATCACCTGCCGGGCCCTTTATCTTTTAAAGAAAGTATCTTTTTTTTTTTTTTAAAGAGAGATTTTTACTATAGGGCATGTGTGCTTGCCAGAGAAACAGACAAAAAGCGAGAAATTACTCCCCAGCAGTGTTGTCTGTGCCTCAATCCCTTCTTTTTCATTCTCCTCTGGGGATTTTGGGCTTGCACACACATGCACCTGGTGTGAGTTTATTTATTTCATTATTTTTTTAAGAATTATTTAATTCTATTCATTGTCATCATTTTATTTTTTTAAATTTTATTTATTTATATTTTTGAAGTTGACCAGAGAGAAACAGAAAGAAGGAAAGTAAGCTGCCAGGTCTGGGACTCGAACCTCAGTCAGCCATGTGGTAGTCCAGCTACCTTAACCACCACGCCACCTGCCACCTCTTATTTATTTTTCTTAAGAGAGATTTTTGGGGGACTAGCAGTTAGCGTAATGGCTATGTTGCTGAACTCCCATGTAGTCCCGGACCCAGTGGCTTAAACTCATTTTTTTTCTTTTTTGGAAAGGTTTTTGCTATAGGGCACGTGCGCTTGCCAGACAGAGACAGAAAGCAAGAAATCACCCCACAGGGGGGATGGCCATGCTGCAATCCCTTCTCCTCTATTCTACTCTCGGGATCTTGGGTGCACATACGCCCAGCGTGAGTTTAAGCCACCTAGTTCGGGACTCAAACCGCAGTCGACTACGTGGGAGTCCAGTGACATAGGCATTATACTAACTGCTGCCATCCCCCACCCCCAGGGGATGATTTCTCACTCTGTCTGTCTGTCTGTCTCTGTCTTTCTGTCGAGTGCATGCGCCCTATAGCAAAAACTTCTCAAAAAAAAAAAAGAGAGAGAGATTTTTGGTATAGGGCACATATGCTTACCGGAGAGACAGAGAAACGGAAAGTGAAAAATCACCCTCCATAGGGTAAGGGCATGCCATAGTCCCTTCACCTCCATTCTCCTCTCAGGATCCTGTCATGTGCCTGGTGTGAGTTTGAAGCTATGGGTCTTGGACTCAAACCACAGTCGACCATATGGGAGTAAGCAATATAACCACTTTGCCATCTGCTGGCCCCTAAGAAAGTATCTTAATTGGGCCAACTGGTGGCATAGCAGTAAGGAGGTATTTGCTCTGTGGTGCTTTAACTACATGGAAATGTTGTAGGTTTGTGTCCTGAGACCTTGTTATGCATGCTTGGCACCTGTGAATGTGCCTGCTTTTCAGGCTGAATGAGACTAGCTGCTGTGACCCAGAGTATCTGAAGCTGGAGGTGGGTTATGGGATGAAGACCTTGTTTGATGTGCTTGTCTCTTATATCCTTCTATGTCTCATGTTAATAGAAGAAATAAACTATGGAAAGAAAATTTTATTAATAAAATTCATCAAAGTTGGTTAATTCTTGTTTGATAGTAAAAATATTAAAGTACCTTCAACAATGTCTTAAAATTTGTCTTTATTTTTTACTTAGGCTTCTCCTGGCAATCTTTCTCAGTTTGAAGACATTCTCTTTGGTAACAATGATTTGTCAGCTTCTATTGGTGTGGTAGGTGTCAAAATGTCCACAGTTGATGGCCAAAGACAGGTTGGAGTAGGATATGTTGATTCCATACAGAGGAAGCTAGGACTGTGTGAGTTCCCTGATAACGATCAGTTCTCCAATCTTGAGGCACTTCTGATTCAGATTGGACCAAAGGAATGCATCTTACCAGGAGGAGAGACTGCTGGAGACATGGGGAAACTGAGGCAGGTAAGGCAATTGAGTCTAGTGGTAAAGGAGAGTCTGAGCCTAGGAAAAGCTCTTTAATATTAGTTTTATTGAAGGAAAAAAGTCTAAAAAAATTTTTAAAAGAATTATTTAATTCCATTTATTACTACTATTTTTTTTTTTTGAGAAGTTTTTGCATGCACTTCCCAGAAAGGTAGACAGAAAGCAAGAAATCGCCCCCCCCAGGGGGGGATAGCCACACTGCAATCCCTTGTCCTTCATTCTCCTCTCGGCATTTTGGGTCCTCATGCACATGTGCCCGACGTGAGTTTAAACCCTGGGTCCAGGACTTGAACCACGGTTGACTACATGGAGTCCAACGACATGGCTATTACGCCAATGCTGGTCCCATGTTTTTTAATTTTTTGCTATAGGGCTGGGCTTATCCAGGTGGGGGTGGAGTGAGAAGTCACCTCCCAGGGGGGATGGCCATGCCACAATTATTTCTCCATTCTCTTAGGATTTTGCATATACACACACATATATGCCCAACATGTTTCTCAAACCATTGGGTTCCGTACTTGAACTGTGGAGTTGGCCAAGTAGGATCCAGAGCCATAACAACTTATATGCCACTTGCTGGCCTGGATGCATTTATTTTTGTTGTTGGGATTTTTGCTGTAGGGTGCCTGTGGTTACCAGGGAGACAGCAAGAAATCACCTTGACAAAGGGGATGGCCAAGCTGTAGTCCTTTCTTTGGGAATTTAGGCAGGCACACTCATGTGCCTAAATGAGTTTCAAGCCCCTGGCTCTGGGAGTTGGCTATGTGAGAATCCAGTACTTAACCACTATGCCATCTGCTGATTTTGTTTTTTTTTTTTTTTTTAATTGTTAGAGGCTCTGTGTGCTCTAGAGAGAGAGCAGGAAAGAGAAAGTAAGCAAGCAAACACTACCCCTTAGGGGGTGGTCACACTGTAGTCCCTTCTCCATTTCTTCAACCTCTGGATTTTGGGTAGGGGTGGACTTGTGCCTAGCAAGCCGCTGATTACAATAATCAAAATTTGGTCAACCGTTTGGGATCCAGTTTCTTTCTTTTTTTTTTTTTTTTTTTTTTTTTTTTTTTCTTGGGGGGTTTTTATCTTTAGGGCGCGTTGGGTGCAGAGAGAGGCAGAAAGCGAGAAATTACCCCCAGGGGGATGGCCAGGGGGGGATGGCCACAGCGCAATCCCTTCTCCATTCTCCTGGGATCTTGGGCACGCACACATGCGCCCGGCGTGAGTTCAAGCCACCGGGTCCAGGACTTGAACCGCGGTCGACTACATGGGAGTCCAGCAGACATAGCCGGGATCCAACTGGTCCCGGGATCCAGTTTCTTTAACCACTAGGCTATGGGGGTGCCTCAAGTTATAGTTCTTTTAGATGATTTTTTGATACATAGTTCAAATGGAACTTTAACCTCTTAGTTTACTACTACTTTTATTTTAATCAATTTCCGATGGTACCATTTGAATTATAGGCATATGATATATTTATGTACTTCTTAAGGGATGTATTCCCAAAGGATTTTATTTTTTCTTTTTCTGGGCCTCAAATACCTTAATAACTAGAAGATAGCAAGCCTTTGATGGATGTTTTTAGCACTGATAGTATCTGTGCAACTTTCCACACATAATGGTTTATTGAAAGTTTTCAAACTTGGGACTATTTTTTTAAAACTTTATGTGAATATAAACAAACTAAATTTTTGTAAAGTTATAAAGATTGTATTAAGGGCCAGCCAGAGGTGAGGTGGTTGAGGCCTCTGAATCTCATATGACCAACTGAGTGTTCTACTGCCAGACAGGGTAATTTGAAAAGCAAACTGGGGGGTGTTCATTTGAATGTCAAATGTCTTGAGATCTGAATGGAAGAGAAGAGATTTGCAGTGTGGCCATACCCCCTGGAGGGGGTGCTTTGTCACTATCCCTGTTTGTCTCTGGAAACCTCCTTTAGCAAACTTAAAAAAAGTGTTAATGTGCATTTGTGTATATGCATTGTCTTACATAATGTGTGAAAATTTAACTTGGGTTGATGATCCGTTGTTACTTTTTATCAAAGTTATAATTTCCTTTTCTCATATTAATGTAAGGTATTTCTTTGTAAAACAGGTTATTCAGAGAGGAGGAATTTTGATTACAGAAAGGAAAAGAACTGACTTTTCCACAAAAGACATTTATCAGGACCTCAACCGGTTGTTGAAAGGCAAAAAGGGAGAACAGCTGAATAGTGCTGTTTTGCCAGAAATGGAGAATCAGGTATATGAATTGAAAATAGAAATATGTTATTAAATTACAATTCTGACTTTCTTTTTTTTAAGAATTATTTTATTTAACTTTGTTTATTTATTTTAGTTTGACCAGAGAGAGACAAAGTGAGAGAGAGGGAGTAGGAAAGTGAGAAAGCAAGCCGCCAGGTCTGGGACTTGAACTGCAGTCGACCATGTGGGAGTCCAGCGCCCTCAGCCACCACACCACCTGCTGGAACCTTTGACTTTTCTGTTAGTTACCAGAGGGTGTGTGTGCTTGCTAGATTGCTGCAAAAACAAAGAGAACAATTAGGTGGGGTATATGGCACCCCGCCATTGAGGTGTGGTCATATTGCAGTACTGTCTCCATTTCTCTATCTTCTCGTGCTTTTAGGTTTGTGTCCTTGGGCACACATCCACTAGGCTACAGGGCTGGACCATTAGTGACTTTATTGAAGTTACGTTTATCTCAGAGCACATCATGTGGATTAGTGATTTATGAAGCTTATTTGATCTGTGATGAAAAGCTCAAGGAAATAACTAGAAAATTTAGAATATAATAGTAGAAGTAATTTCATTTTATTTACAGTCTATTTATTCCTAGCGTGTGGAAGGGTTTTTCTATTCTTTCTTTTTTTGGAGAGGTTTTTGTGATAGGGCCTATGTGCTTGCCAGACAGACAGAGAGACAGAGACAGAAAGCGAGAAATCACCCCCCAGGGGGGATGGCCACGCCGCAATCCCTTCTCCTCCATTCTCCTCTCGGGATCTTGGACACGCAAGCACATGCGCCCGGCGTGAGTTTAAGCTGCTGGGGGCGGGACTCGAACTGCTGTCGACTACGTGGGGGTCCAGCAACATAGCCATTACACTAACTGCTGGTCCCTTGTGTGGAAGGGTTTTGAGGGAACCCATTACAGGCACTTACCTATGAGATAGCATGGTGACTGGAGGTAGGGAAGAACCCTGTTTCTTCTAGGCTTTAATAGGGACCAGCTTTCCTTTCTCAGTTTTGTTATGTAATAATGGGGAGAGGGGTCTGTAATAGGTGATTATACACTTATTAGAGCCATTTTTATTATCCTTTAGATAAAGCTAACCTTAAAGCATTGTTATGCAGATTAGTAGGTAGTAAGAATGAAAGTATTAAAAAGCATATAACAATTAAACAATAAATATAACATCTATACAGTTTGGCTCTAAAATGGTCATGGGTTATGTATTATGTTGTTGGAAGAGTCTTGACACATTTTTGATAGAAAAGCATAGGAAAAAATATATGGGGACCAATAGTTGGCATGGTGATTAAGGTGCTGGACACACCCACATACAGGGCTGACTGGTTTGAGTCCTGGACCTGGTGGCTTGTTTCTTTCTCTCTTTCCTTCTCTCTGCCTGCCTCTCTCTCTCTCTCTCTCTCTCTCTCTCTCTCTCTCGTAAAATTAAAATAAATGAATAAATAAAATGAAATGAAATAATTAAAAAAATACATCATGACTTTTTTGACAACCTAATATGTTCTGTGTTAGAAATGAATACAGACATAATATAACTTATGAACTTGTTTGAAGTTTATCTTACTAGTCAAATCTTAGAGGTGGGTATGACGTTAGAGTTAACATTTTATGGTAACGTTGCAAACTTGAGTATTAGGTTGGTAAAAGCACGATGTATTTTTCTGATTTTTTTTTTTTTTGGAAAGGTTTTTGCTATAGGGTGCGTGTGCTTGCCAGGAAGACAGAGAGAGACAGAAAGTGAGAAATCAACCCAGGGTGAATGGCCAAACCGCAGTCCCTTCTCCATTCTCCTCTCAGGATCTTGGGCACACACGCACACGTGCCCGGCATGAGTTTAAGCCACCAGGTCCGGGACTTGAATCGTGGTCGACTACATGGGAGTCCAGTGACATAGCCATTACGCTAACTGCTTGTCCCTATTTTTTTGCTGTATCTGTGTGAATTACTGAAAGTAAAAGGAGCGATTCTATGATTAGGGCCAGCAGTTAGAGTGGAGGTTATGTGACTGGTTCCCACATGGCCATCTGCATTGTTTGAGTTCTGAGCTGGCAGCTTGAGAAACATACTGGGCATGTGTGTGCATGGCCAAAATCCTGATAGGACAATGGCGGTATTGTGACTTGGCCATCTCTCCTGGGGACGGTTTCTCATTTTTCATCTCTGTCTCTCTCCTGCTAGTGCAGGCAATTAATAGTAAAACTTAAAAAAAAAATTATTTATTACTTAAATAAGGCAGAACAGACTTTATAACTGCTTAGGATTTTCATAGTATAGTATATTTCAAACCAGAATGAACTGAGATGTTGTCATGTTGAAGTGATCATATATCAAATAATAGTTTGGTCCGTAAAAGCTAATATTTTTACTTCATTTTTGTGAGACAGTTGAAACCATTATGGGTCAATTAAAACCAATTAAAATCAAGTATTAGAGAAACTTATTTCTTTGCTATTGAAAATATGAAGATCGGGTGGCGTGGTGGTTTAAGGCGCTGGACTTCCACTAGACAGCTGTGGTTCAAGTCCTGGGCCTGGAGGCTTGCCTTCTCACTTTCCGTCTCTCACTCTCTCTGTGGTCAAATTTAAATAAATAAAGTTGAATAAATAATGAAAAAGAAAAAGAAAATATGAAGATGTTTTTAGGGTTACTTAAAAGTTTTTAAAATCTTTTTTGGTGATAGGGCTAGATATTATTGTGACAGACTTATATACTGGGTCATTTGAAAAATAATGATGCATTTTTGCATAGAAAATATGTCATGACTGGGGCTGGTAGGTGCCATGGTGGCAGCTTGTCCCCCCCCATCTCTCTCTCTCTGTCCCTCTGGTCAAATTGAAATAAACAAATGAATAAATAATGAAAAAAAAAGTTAAATTATTCTTAAAAAAAAAAAAAAAGTCATGATTTTCTCACTTACCCAATAGTTGTTGGAGTTTGACAAGGGCAGAGAGATTATGAAGACAGAATTCTGATTTCTTTTTCCTATTGGAAAGTTATTTTTAGAGGGCCTGGGATAATCATGCCTATAAACATTAACAGAGGTCTACCAACATTAACAGAGGACTTTAGTCCATTGATAGTGGGATGCTACCCCCTGTCCTTGACATAATGTGTTTTTTTTTGATGCATATTAGTAGGATTCACAGTGAAACTCTGGAGGTACCATCTCAAGAGAAAAAGGAAAGTTTATTGAGAGCAAGAGCACCTAGGGGTCTGAAGCCAGCTATGTCTCAGCCCACCCCACCAAAGAGACTTGATGTATTTATATAGGAGGAGTGGAGGAGCAGGGTCAGAGAATGGCAGGTACTTCGATGAACATACCTACCATTGTGACCTTAACCCGTCCATGTACATTGACTGCTAGTAAGAGAGGGCCAGAGAGGCCTGAGGATTCTGGCTGTGACCATGTCCTTATTTTCTGACAGGAAATGACGTAAAAGCCATTCAAGTGCTAACCTAACACACAGTAAGCCTTCTTAACTCTTAAAGTGCAGACACTCTTTTTTACTGATTTCTTTTAGTTGACAGAGACTTGTGTTTTATTTTTCTTTTTTAAAGGTTTTTGCTAACTGTACAGAGAGAGGGAGAAAGAGACACAAAGTAGAAATCACCTCCTGGGGGAATAGCTAAGCCATAATGCTTTTCTTCATTATCCTCTCAGGATTTTGGGCATGCATGCAGTCAGTCATTCCCATTGTGAGTTTCAAACCTTGGGTTCTGGGACGTGAACTGCATTCTGTCATGGGGGAGTTTAATGCCTTAACCACTACGCCTTCTGTCCCCAACTTAGGTTTTCTTTAACCAATTACTTCGGCCAGGTCTAAGTAAAAGATTTATGCTGATGGACAGCTCTCCTGCTCTCTGAACTAAATAAAAGAAACCACTATTTGAGAACCTCTAGAAATACTTTTGTCTTTCTCCAGGCTGGTCACTCAATCTGTTGGTTAGAATAAACCACATTAGGGGTCAATAGATGGGGTGGTGGTTAAGATGTTGCACTCCCATATGGCTGACCTTGGTTAGAGTCTCAGACCCGATGGCTTGCTTTTTCAGCTTTCTTTCTCTCTGGTGAGTGCGTGTGCCCTTTAACAGTGTAAGAAAAAGAAAAGATAATTCTTTTCTAAAAGTTAATAAACCCCATTAATTAATATTTCTACAAAGCTCGGTTATTTCTGTTGACAGTTACTGTGTTATCATATAGGTAACTAGGCACGTTTATAGTGAATCTAGTATCAGGGATGTTTTATTTATTTTTTTACTGCCTTTTTTTAGGAATTTATTTAATTTTATCATCACTGTTATTTTTCAAGTTTGCTGCAAGGCACACATGCTCACTAGAGAAAAACTGAGACCAGGGTTTGGTAGTAGGGAGAGTAAGAAAGGAAGTCACCAGGTCTGGGACTCAAATTGTGGTTGGCCGTGTCGGAGTCCAGTGCCTTAACCACTATGGCACCTGCTGACCCCTCAAGTTTATTTTAATTAGTAGAATTTGTCATTGGGCTACTAGCTTAATGTTTTGAACTTTTTCTTTTATGTTACAGTAATAACATAGTCAATAAGAATATATATAATGTAAATTTATTTAAATAATGAATATGTGAGGGCCAGCCCTATAACCTAGTGGTTAAGGAAGCCAGATCCCATGTAGCCTACAGCAGTTCAAATCCTGAACCACATGAGCTGAAAATTATGTCAGGCACGTGTGTATCTGTGCCCAGAATACCACCATAATGGAGAAATGGAGAAAGGACTGCAGTGTGACCACACTCCACTGAGAAGTGCTTTTTCTCTGCCTCTGTCTATCTCTGGTGAGTAAATACACTGATAGGAATGTGTATATGCCATAAGTATATAATTAAGTTTTCATAAATCAAACATACCTGTGTATAATCAACATCCATGAAATTGAGTGTTACTGGGATCCCAGAAGCCCCATCATGCTTCCTTAAAGTCTACCTACCTGCCCTGTTGTGGGATCACTTCTGTGATGATATTCAGGTTCTTGGTATTTCGGATAAAGAATTGAGCAAAACATGCTAATAGTGAAAGGAAAAAGTAGTTATTAATTACTGGACAGCAGGTTGCATAATGGTTTCGTCCCTGGACTCCCATGTAGTCCATTGTGGTTTGAGTCCCAGACCTGGTGGCTTTTACTCACATTGGATGTGTGTGCCTGTGTGTCTAAAATCCCGAGAGGAGAATGGAGAAGGAATTGTCATATGGCCATCTCCACTGGGAGGGGTGATTTATCTCTTTCTGTCTCTCTTTCTCTCCAGTTAGTGTTCGTGCCCTATAGCAAAAACCTTTCTAGAAAAAAAGGTAGTAAGTAAAAGTACACTCCTGATAGTAGGAGTGGGCCTGAGTGGACAGGGAAAGAATAGCTCAAAAGGTGCAGTTGTATTCTGCCAGATTTATACTTTTTTCCCTTTTTTTTTTTTTGAGAATAGAGTGTGTGCACTTGCAAGAGAGTCAGAGACAGAAAGTGAGAAATCATCCCTCGGGGGGATGGCCACGCTGCAATTCCTTCACCTCCAATCTCTCAGGATCTTGGGCACGCATGCACACACGCCTGGCATGAGTTTAAGTACCAGGTCCAGGACTCCAACTGCGATCTAATACATGGGAGCCCAGCGATAGCCGTTATGCTAACTGCTGTTCCTATTTTGTGTTTTTTTTTTTTTTTTTTTTTTTTTATATATA